TTCACTTGCCATCTCCATTCCCAAACTTAATAATTTTCATAATACCAAGCATTAATATCTTAACAAAATAATTACTATATTTATAACATTTTTCATTAAATTATAAATTTAGCCTTAAATGAAGTAATCATAAATAAAAGTAAACTTCAAAAATGGTATTATAACTATTTAAATATTTGGTTTTGTGTTTAATAAAATCTAAATTAAAATTTTAATGTTTTTTTTTGTTTAATAAGTCCTTAAATTTTAATTTTATGTCAAATTAATACGAAACATATTTGACATTTTTTTTAAACATAAGTAATTATTAAACATAAAATTAAAAAATTAGAGCAGTAACATACCTAAAAAATTTAATTTTATATTTATATATCAATTAATTATTGAAAATTTTGAATATTTTAAATTTTATTAGACATAAAATTCAACTGGAATATAATAAATCATTAATTTTTAATTTTTTCTTAAAATATATTAGCTAACAATTACATGAAAAAATTGAAAAAATCACACATCCATTATATACTATTTAAAGTTTATAAATAAATAAATAAATAAATAAAGAAATATATATATATATATATATACACACACACACCCATATATATAATAAAGATTAAAATAAAATTAAGAAATAAAAGTATTAATTATAAGGTATAAATATATATTTTTTTGTTTGAAAAGAAAATACAGTTACTATAAATAATGTTGGGGGCGTTACATTTCGGTTTAGATGTGGCAGCTTTATTCGACCAAATCAAGGACGCCACCCGCTTCCTACCCGCCGGAACAATCACGCTCCATTTCTCTTCTCGTCTCGTCTCGTCGCTCTCTGGCTCCCCAAAACCTTCTCTTCCAATCCCACAACCCTCGCCGGAGCTACACCATTTCCGCCGACGGCAGACCTTCCACCGCGCACCCCTCTGCCATTGCCATTGCCATTGCCATTGCCATTGCCTCATCAATGCCGGCACATAAAGCTTCCAAACTCCAACCCTCCCGACTTCAATCAAAATTCTCCCAATCCCACCTTATTCTCTACTGAGCACAACGAAACTCTTCTATTCAATCCTCTCATTCATTCTGCATTTTCACGGTTTCTCGAACGAACGACGACAATGGCAGGCCAAGCGGAGCTTATCCCTTTTTATCAGCTTCCGTTCTGAGCCTGTTGGGACGGGGATAAATCCCTAGAATGGTTAATTCGTGTGATGGTATTGCCTATTGATTTTTTGTCGTTGAGGCGCTTGGGATTCGCTACCTCGACGCTTTGGATCTGTGGCTGATCGAGTTTGTCCCGAAATGGTATTCGTTTTCCATCAATTTGCTGCCCTTATCGTTATGACTTAATGAACTCAATTCGTTGCCCTTAGTTTAGCTGACTGGAACAAACTCCAAGCTCCATCAAGCTTCAATGGAATTTTGAAATTTGAACCGTCTGGTTATTGTCATCAACACTCTAATTTGATTTTTATGCATTCCTTTTTAGATGCTTTATCAGTCCAGAAATCATTTACGTTTCAACTTTTTATATTTCTGTGGATATTTTTATATACGCATTAAGAGTCAGTAATCTGTTTTTACTTCTCTTGTGTCTAATGTGAATTTTCTCTTTCTGTTGACATACAAATGTGAATGTTTAAGCTATGTCTTTTTATATGCTTGTGTTGGAACTTAAATGGAAGACCCTGCTATTTATTCGGTACATTAAACCTCTTATTCGTCCCACAGGCTGGTCAAGTAAATCTAGCGGTTGGGTGTCTTGTTTGGATTGAGGATCCTGAGGTAGCCTGGATAGATGGGGAAGTAGTGGCAGTTAATGGTCAAGATATCAGAGTACTCTGTTCATCAGGAACTACTGTAAGTGATACTTTGCAGGATGTTACACTTGATTTGCTATGTTAAACTGTTATATACTGCTGACCATTCGGTCAGAATTCCATTTGTTCTACATTATTGTACATATATAAAGCTTTTGTAGAACTATTTAATGGTTGATGTCGAGGTGTTGATTGATTGAAAAAGGTTTTGTAGCACTATTTGATGATGCTTTGTTCAAAAAGTTTCTACACTTGTCACAAGTTATTTTCAATTTCCTTTTGTTAAAATCCATGATGACTAATGTCGTAACCATGATGTTTGTTGGCTTCATTTTTTTTTCTTGTCAACACAATTAGGACAACAGTCTTATTATTAATGCCAATAGGTTAAAATAGTGTCTTAACTTGTGATCTGTTGTGCTCCTTTGCTTATAAAAAACAAACAACGGTGTCCCTTTCTAACTGTTATGTTTCATTCTTCTAAAGGTTGAGGCCAAATCATCAAATGCCTATCCAAAGGATCCTGAATTTCCATCATGTGGTGTGGATGATATGACAAAACTAGCTTATTTACACGAGCCAGGACTGCTACAGAACTTGAAATGTCGTTATGATGTTAATGAAATTTATGTGAGTAACTACAATTTCCTCCCCAGCTTAGCAAGTTCATTCCCCTGGGGTGGGGGCTTTTGATCTGTTGCTTTGTGGTGTCTCTGTTATTGATACTCTAACTGTCCCCTTTCGTGCAAAGGGTTGAGAAGTGCGGTTGTTGGCACTATAAATGGCTTGTAGCTGTTATATTGCAACTTTGTGATTAAGTTGGAGTATTAACCTGGTTAGTTTTAAAATTTCTTTGCAATTCCACAGACCTATACTGGGGGTATACTAATAGCCGTAAATCCTTTTCGAAGACTTCCTCATTTATATGATAATGGCATAATGCAACAATATAAAGGGGCGGATTTAGGTGAGCTGAGCCCGCATCCCTTTGCCATTGCAAATTCTGCATATAGGTATTCCCACACATTATATGTATGCATTTTTTGAATAATTAAATGTTTCATTTTTTCATTCAAATTTAAAAATCACCAAAAATGCAGACAGATGATTAATGAGGGTATAAGCCAGTCAATTTTAGTTAGCGGGGAAAGTGGAGCTGGTAAAACGGAGAGTACAAAGATGCTTATGCGCTATCTTGCCCATGTTGGAGGGAGAGATGGAGGGAAGGCTGCAACTGGTGAACGCTCTGTAGAGCAGCAAGTACTAGAGGTATGGACTTCTTACTGGTTTGTTAATTTTCATCAATCCTGAAGGCTGAAGTCATTTGATAGAACTATTTTATCATTCAATTATTTGTGATGCCTTTTACGTTTAGGCTCATACCCTCCTTTGATTAATAGGAAATCAAAATGAGTGGATTTAAACTTATGTTCTAGAAGCATAGGATATCCTACTTATTGTTGGGTTAAATTACAATAATGATTAACTTACGTTGTTTTAACAGTTAAATTCTTCCTAATAGTATTATTATCTCTAATGTTTTCCCCTCCAAATCGCATCCTGAGAATTTAGCACCTGACTTTTGATATTAAGTCGGTGACAAATTTATCTTTATATTACATTTTCTTTGCGCAGTCCAACCCTGTTCTAGAAGCATTTGGCAATGCAAAGACTGTTAGAAACAATAATTCCAGGTGGGCAACCTACTTTTGGAATTCTTTCCTTTCATTTTCTGACCACCAAGCTTTTTCTTATATGCTCTTTTTACTGGAATAAGATTCTGAGTTGATTACTGTGTATCTGCAGTCGGTTTGGTAAATTTGTGGAGATCCAATTTGACCGAAGTTGGAGAATTTCTGGAGCTGCTATTAGAACTTATTTATTAGAACGTTCCCGTGTTTGCCAAGTGTCTGATCCTGAGAGGAATTATCATTGCTTTTATATGCTTTGTGCATCAACAGAGGTAAATTTCTCGTCATGAATATGAATTTTTTTGGACCCCCTTTTCAGGGGAGGGGGAAGGGTAGGGTTCTGGTTGGAAAGAAATAGGAAAGGTCAGGCTACTTTCTTTGTTGTTTTGTGGTTAATCTGGTTGGAAAGGAATAGGTAAGTGTCCCTCAGAAGGGATAGTTTGTGGGAGGATGTATTGAATGTGGCTTTCTTTAGGGCCTCTCTTGCGGGATGCTTCCCTTTTATTGGTGAGGCTCGTCTCTTTGTGGGTCTCCCCTTGAATTTTGTTTCTTCATTTTCTTATGAAAGTTGGTACTTCTATAATAAAAAAATTCACATATATGTTTTTCCCTCTTTTTGTGTATTCTTTTAATCGTCATCTTTAAATGCTTTCTTTATTGGTCTTTTCCTTTTACCATCTCTACAATTGTAGTTAACTGTACTTGTGTTCTAATCCGAGGCATGTTATGTATCTTAGGCAATTAGTATGGTATATATGAAAGTAATTGACGAGTAGTGGTTGAGTTTAAACTACGTTTTACGTCCATTTCCTTCGCTAACGGTTCATTTAATTTTATTGTTCGTTGAAAGTAAACTCACTTTTCAATGTAGTGAGGGTTTTTTTTTTCACCTCCTTGAAATCAATTGTTTCCTTTTTCTTTTTGATCAGGAAGTTGAAAAGTATAAGTTAGGGAATCCAAGAACATTCCATTATCTTAATCAATCTAATTGCTATGAACTTGATGGACTGGACGAATCCAAGGAATATACTTCTACTAGAGAAGCTATGGATGTCGTTGGAATAAGTACAGCTGAGCAGGTATTCTTTTCTCTTGAACCTTCGACTTGCCAGTGAATGTAACCTACCCAAGTAATTGATTTGAGGTCTGTATTTTTAGGATGCTATATTTCGAGTGGTAGCTGCAGTACTTCATTTGGGCAATGTTGAATTTACAAAGGGGAAGGATGCGGATTCCTCTGAACCTAAGGATGACAAAGCTCGGTTCCATCTCAAAATGGCAGCAGAACTATTCATGTAATCAGCTTGCTCCTATTTTTAGTGAAGTGGTGTCTGAGATAGTTGAAGCCTTGTAATCGGTACTTTTTTTCTTTTTTGGCGCAGGTGTGATGAGAAGGCTCTTGAAGATTCAATGTGTACTCGTGTGATAGTTACACGTGATGAAACCATAACTAAATGTCTCGATACAGTATCTGCAACTCTTAGTAGGGATGCTTTGGCAAAAATCGTATATTCAAGATTATTTGATTGGTAGGTTTTGTGTTTCATTCTTAAATTACTTTTTAATTTAAATTTGTCATTGTTGTTTCTATCATGGACTCTTTTTAAACATTTCCTTCATGGACTCAGGATTGTTGATAAGATTAATAACTCAATTGGCCAAGATCGTGATTCAAAACACTTAATCGGGGTTCTGGATATCTATGGATTCGAGAGTTTCAAGACAAACAGGTGCTTAACCGGTATGCTTTTGCTTTCATCATTAGTGGAGGATGAACTCCCACCTAGCAATTTCATGCATCTTTTGTTGCCAACATATAACACGAGACCTTTTCATTTTACCTTCCATTAGCGAATCATATGGTTAGGCCCCCTATTATGCAGAGGAACAAGGAAGCCAAGGGCTGGAAAGCCAATATACCTCTGACACGTTTGTTAGAGGGAATGTTGGGAATTTGAGGAGGGAACAAAGTGAGGGGCTGGAGGGAGTGCTTTTAGGCTTGTGACAGTGTGTCTATTTTCTTTCATGCTCTCATTTAGTAGTTTTTGCCTTGTGAGAGGAAATGGAGAGTTTACCAGCCCTTTCTAATTGGCTGGGAGTTTGTTATTGCCTTAGGCAAGAGTTTTCGTCTAAGTATCAATACATTGCAAGGGAAAGACCTTACAAATTGGCATCAGATCATAATCTGGGGAGGTTGGGAAAAAAATGGTGCGGATGTGGGTTGAAGAAAGGCTCGATGTAATAGATCAAGAGATGGATGATATGAAGGCTGAGGTTGGAGTAATATAAGAGAAAGTGATGTGCAGAATCGAAGATACCCTCACAGTTTTATGAAGATCAGTGGAGCGACTGACTGTCCCAGGGAGATGAGTTCAAGAGTCCATTTGCAACGCTTGTATTAGAGCTAGCCTGGATTTGATCATGGTCGACCCTGGTCAGAGGTGAAGAAAGCTCGTGACAGAACTAGAAATGGGCGGATTCAAATGTAACGCTGGAGAAAAAACCTAATTCGGAGAAGGTGGAGGAAGTTTTCAGCGATAAGAGTAAGGTTAAGAAAGGTTGAGATGCTTGAGTTTGGTTCTCAGGAATTAGCTTTAAATTGGTATTGTGGGAAGGAAGAATGGGAATCATTCAAGGATGGAATGATTTGCAGATGCAATTATTGGAACGATTCCGACGATGAAGCAGGGTAGTGTTTTGTGATGTTTCCTTGTCTTCAAGTAAGAAACCACCATGATAGAATACTGCTACACGTCCGAGTTGTTGATTGCTCAACCTAGTTGTTAAGGTTGTGTTGGTAGCGCATTGGGTTAGCAAATATGATGAAAATGGCATTGTGCGTGGAGGATCATGAAGTGGCCAGATTAGAAGCTTCGAAGCCTATCATTCTAGTTGAAAAAGCCCAAGTTCTTGCTCTAAATCAAACTGGAATGGAGGAAAAGTCGGCAAGAAGATGATGGAAATGACACCCCCATGCGTACGATCACTCTGACGAGTAATCCCACCGCCATGCCACGTAAAGAGGGTCTGATGAAGAAACTTTCTGATGTAGAATTTCAATCTTGGTGATAAAAGGGTCTTTGTTTCGGCTGCGAGGAAAATTATTATGTTGGCCACAAATTTAAAGCAAAGGAGATTTAGGTTATGGTGGTCGAACAGAGAGGAACTTGAAATTGTAGAAAGAGAACAATTTAATTCTAGAAGCAGAGGAAAATTTGTTGGCGGAACCATTTAGATGAAAGGACGGATCGATCATCAAGAAGTAGTGATCTTAATTGATTGTGGAGAAATGTATAATTTTATTCCTCAACGTTTGGTTGAGAAATTGAACTTACCTTTGACAAAGGCCAGTTAATGGGTACAGGGATGGCGGTGAAAGGAAAAGGAGTGTGTGAAGGGGTTGTGCTCACTTTTGGAGAATTGACAATTGTGCTCACTTTTGAAGAATTGACAATAGTTGAAAGCTCCTTACCTTTGGAATAGGGGAAGTCAACATAGTTTTAGGTATGCGATGGCTTCATACCCTTGGAGAAACACGCATGGATTGGACGACCCTATCAATCAACATTGAAGCAGAGAAGCTGCTAAGTGTGTTGAAAGAGGGCCTAGGCCTAACCAAATCGACAGTATCGTTGAAGAAGATGATGAAATCTTTGGGTGGAAAGTGATGAGGGGTTCCTCATAAAATGCAAAGCCTTGGAGATGATGTTTGTGACGACAATCCTCCCAGAGTCGGTACTTATGGCCGAAGTCTTTGTGTCAGTTCTCCAAATCCTGAATGAATATGAAGATGTTTTTCAAGCTCCTGAGGGCTTACCACCCCAAAGAGAAATTGATCATTGTATACACCTTCAAAAAGCACCTTCAATGAATGTCAGGCCTTGTCAATATCCTCAAGTGCAGAAGACTCAGATCAAACAACTAGTAGAAGAGATGTTAACAAGAATCTTAAGGCCGAGTGTCAGTCTCTATTCAAGCCCAGTTCTGCTAGTGATTAAAAAGGATGGAGGATGAAGGTTTGTGTGGATTACTGTGCATTGAATAACATCGTGGTGCAAGACAAATTTCCAATCCTGATGGTTGAAGAACTCCTCGATGATTTGGACGGATCGTCCATTTACTTGAAGATTGACCTCAAATCAGAATATCACCAAATTCATGTCCACGAGAAAGATATTGAAAAGATGGCATTTTGAATACATGAGGACATTACGAGTTCTTAGTCATGCCATTTGGACTTACGGACGCCCCTTCTACATTTCAAGCATTGATGAGCAAGATCTTTCGCTCATTCCTACGTAAGTTTATCTTGGTACACTTTGATGATATATTAATTTACAGCACAGGATATGAAGAAAACATACGCCATTGGGAGGTGTCTTCAATATCTTGAGGGAAAATCAGTTGTATGACAAACCTACTTCAGCCATACCTTGTCCACTATAGCACAAGCCAAGTCGATATATGAAAGGGAGCTCATTGCGATTGTGTTGGCGAGGGAACCTGTAAATACTAATGCTACGAAAAAAGGTTGGCACTGCGGCCTTAAGACAAGATTTATAGCCAAGATTGGATCAATGAGCATGACCAAGTACAATATAGACTAGACCTTGAGAATAAGGCAGTTGATGCCCGGTTCAGAGTCCCACCTATTGCTCACTTGGCTCAATTATCTGTCCCCTTACTTCTTGATGTGGAGGGTATCAAAAGCGAAGTAGCTGCTGACCCCAAACTCAGTCGAACCCTCCAACAACTAGTGGCAGATGAAGACAATCTCTTTCTATTTCACAAGGGTGATTGCTGTACTAAGGAAGGTTACCTAACGAAGACCTCCTCTCTCATCCCAACAGTACTACACACTTTTCTCGATTCTGTGTTAGATGGACATTCAGGGCTTATACAAACCTATAAATGGTTGACCAAAGAGCTTTATTGGGAAAGGATGAAAGCAGACACCAAGAACTATGTTAGAGAATGCTTGATTTGTCAGCAGAACAAATCACTTGAGGTGTCACCAGTAGGGCATTACTGCATTTTGAAATTCCAAAGATGGTGTGGGAAGACCTTTTGATGAATTTGATCGAAGTATACTAACTTCATTAGGATCCAATGTCACCCCGGTAGTAGTCGCTCGTTTGAGTAAAGCTGCCTACTTCATTGCCATCAAACATTCATTCACTGCCAAGTCAATAGTCGTGACTTTCATTGAAGAAGGAGTAAAACTTCATGAGTATCCTCATCGGATTGCGCTGACCATGATAGGAATTTTGTTAGTCATTTTGGACTGAGTTCAGAATTCAAGGCACGAAAACTTAGTAGAAGTACATCTTACCTCCAGAATCTGATGGGCAAAAATCGTGAACAAATGCCTAGAGACATACTTTCGTTGCTTTTGTGGGAAAAGACCAAAGCAGTAGCTATGTATTCTGGTACAGCACCACATTTCATATTTTCATTGCTATCATTCCCTTTCCAAGCTGTGTATGGACACCCCTCACCGCTATTGTTATCTTATGGGGAAGCTGAGACGCTAACGCAACACTACATCAACAATTAATGGAGAGGCATGCCACTTTAGATCGGCTGAAGACTCATTTGAAGGCTGAGAATGAAGAAATTCACAGATAGGAAACCAGAGATGATGCTGGATGTTGGTGATTGGGTTTTCTTGAAACTTAGACCATTTAGGCAGGCTTCAATTTCCAATTGAAGGAATGAAAAGTTGGCGCTCAAATACTTTGGGCCTTACCGAATTGGATAGAAAATAGGACTTGTGGCTTAAAAACTTACATTACCAAAGGAGGCCACCATACATTCATTATTTCATGTTTCAAAATTCAAAGCCAATATACATTCATAAAGGTTCTCTTGCAGGCCAGGAGTGTTGTTAGACACTAGGTAAGCCTATTAGAGGAGGGGCAAGAAAGCCAATATACCTCTGACAAGTTAGTTAGAGGTTGAGAATTTGAGGAGGGACCACTGGTGCATGAGGGAAGTGAGGGACTGGAGGGAGTGCTTTTAGGCCTGTGGTCATGTGTCTATTTTTCGTTTATGCTTTCATTTAGTAGTTTTTGTCTTGAGAGAGAAAAGGGAGAGTTTACTAGCTCTCTCTAATCAGCTGAGAGCTTTGTATTCCTTAGGGCAAGAGTTTTCCTCCGAGAATCAATACATTGTGAGGGAAATACCATACATTTTTTTCTCTCTCTTCTATCAATAATTTGATTGGTAGGAAACAGCATACTGTTCCATTGAGAGAGGAAAAGGTGAGGGGAAAGAAATCATTTCCAGCCACGCAAGGCTGAAGGAGCTTAAACCCCCTCTGCCCCAAGAGAAAATGTAACCAGCGTTGATAAATAGAAAGAAGTATTTACAAAAGAAAAACTCTATAGAGTAACACTAATTGTATACCCAGAAATCTGATGACCTCCGAAACTTCCTCCAATTATGTATCTTTGTTATCAAAAGATCTATGGTTGGCCAAATGAAAATATTGATGGCACAATCCCAAGTAATCTTGGCTCTGCTTTATAAAGGTGTTGCTCCAAAGAATCATGAGCTTTGTCTTTGCTATTGCATACTAATTCTGACTCCTTTAAAATCTGTTCTAGCATTTTAACAGTATAGGTTAGTGAAGAATCCAAGTGCTGTAGACCACCCATTAGTGGAAAGATGGAAAAATGAGAAAAAGGAACCCTCTTTTGCACCCAATTAGCGGTGTTACTCCCCGTCAAAAATTGTTGTTGAAACAAATAACTTGTTTTATGGGATTTTGTTCATCCAAATATCATTAGAATAACCTTCAGAAATAACAAACTGGTAAATTGTAGGGTGACTAAAAAGTGTGTTGCAATAGTACATACCCGAGAGTGTATTGGAAGAACAATACTCGCTTTGGGAATGCTTCATCTAGAATGAATTTGGTGCTAGTTGTTTTATTTTTCATTTAATATTGTGATACTCCCAACTCCGTTTTCTTTATAGGATTTGTTTCGGTTTTTTTTGTTTCAAAAACATTCTGCGTTTTCAAATAAAATCAATAATTTTATCTACATTTTTTTATTTGTAAATATATATTTTTAGCGATCTTTAATATATTGATATTATTTATATATTAGGATTGGAGGTATCTTTTCTTTTGAGCCCTTATTTTATCTAATTTATCTAAATGAAATTGTACGTATTGTTTTGAATGAAATTGTACGTATTGTTTTGAGCCCTTACTTTATCTAATTTATCTAAATGGAATTGTACGTATTGGTCTATGCAGCTTTGAGCAATTTTGTATTAACCTGACAAATGAGAAATTGCAGCAACATTTCAACCAGGTGGAGCTTGAATTGTGTACTCTTTTTTTCTTTACTTTCCTGGATCTTGAAATTTAACTTGAACAATGTTGTTTACAGCATGTGTTCAAGATGGAGCAAGACGAATATACAAAAGAAGAAATTAACTGGAGTTATATTGAATTTATTGATAATCAGGATGTTCTTGATCTCATTGAGAAGGTGCAGAAGAGTTTCTTTCCTTTCGTGACTAATTTGAATTTTTCTGCAGATTTTGTAGACCTGTTTATATTGTATTCCTAGGGTATTATTCTTTTATTATGAAAAGTATCCCTAAGATTTTTTTGAAACAGAAACACATATTTTTGTTGAAATAATGAGACCAATACTTAAAAGATACAAAGCTCCACGGAGAAATGAAAAGAAACAACTAAAAAGGATTACGAAGAAGGATATTGTTAACAATCCAAATAATACTAAATGCTCTTCAACAAACGGCCTAAAATAATTATTCAATCAAAACATCAAAATAAAGCCAAGATCTCAGGGCTCCAAAAAGGAGAGGAGATTTGACAACTGAGAACCTACTCAAATACGCCTAACCGAACAGAACTCCAAACCACCAAAGTAAACATCCCCGTAACCTTCCAAAAAATAGGCAACCTTCAAACTCTAAAATGAATAAAAAATTGAAACTAAAAATGATCTTCAAGATAACATGAAAAAGTAAAAGGCGCCAGAGACTGGATTACCAATAAGTAATTCTCATTGTTGGACAATCAAAATGGATGAGTAAAGCACAATTATATCGTAATTTGTGGTGATCGAGGAGTGATTTCTTTCATATGTAATCCACAAACCTCAATTAAGGAATAGAATTTGGGAGGAATTGAAGGATACTTTGTTACTGATTATGAAGCTTCAACTGAATTCCTTTGGTGAATAGAATTTGGGAGGAATTGAAGGATACTTTGTTATTGATTATGAAGCTTCAACTGAATTCCTTTTGTCAACACCGAAAAAGACTTTAAAATGCTTCTGCAAAAGAGTCTTCGACAGAAAATTTTATATCTCAACTAAATATGCTTCAGATTCATCACTGCTCATACTAGCATCATATTCGGAATCATGAATAATTAGAGAGGAGATAGGATACTTAGTGATAGGAGGGTCAATGATACGTTTTGTTAAAGTGTCATTTCAACTTGGAGGAGTGATCACTGAAAGAGTAAAAGAGTTAGTAGATTGTGAAGGGGCTCCTATTTAAGCAAGTGGGGAGCAGAGAACAAGCTTATTCCAAAACGTTTGAATTGATCTCTTAATTTTCTGAAATACCAAAGCAATCTTTCTTCTTAGTATAATAGAGAGGGTAGGCTTCAATAAGTTTATTTTTCATTATAGAGACATTCAGTATAGGTTTAAAATGATAAGAACCTGAATAAACGATTGAGAATACCAACTTCAATAAGTTTATTTTTCATTATAGAGACATTCAGTATAGGTTTAAAATGATAAGAACCTGAATAAACGATTGAGAATACCAAACAGTAGCTGGTGAATTTTTGCGTAACCTGAAGGTCATCTTGAAGAAAAAGATCATCCACCTTTAGCTGATCATGCAAAGGAAGAGAATTCAACTCGAAATCTTTGGCCATAAAATCCTTCGATGGAAAAGTGAAACTTTCATCCATCATAGCTTAATTTATTCTCTTTCGATCCATTAAATTGGTAAAATTAAGAATAGAAAAATCCCCATGATCAATGCTTGGAGGATCAATAAAATATATACCCCCAAAATGTGAGAAAATTTTCAAACTACCCATATGTTACCGCAATCTCAGTTGGAATGAAACCACAAATACTTTTTCTAACTTCATTGCTAACAGCAGTACAATAAATAAAATTAGGAGTTTGGGAAGATATATTGACGAAACCTCCAAAATGGTAACCAATTGCTTCAAAATAAGATCGTTTCCAATAAGGTAAAGGTAAATTCTGCAAAGGAATCCAGCCACCATATCCCTCAATAAGCTTTGGATGATTGTGTTATTTTTGGGACTATTTCTCAAATTGCCTCCATTTTCCATGAAAGTCCAACCGAGAAAAATCAACACTCAATTTCAACAACCCCTTATCTTCCATGTAGGGATTAATAGAAATCTTGGATTGAAAATAAACCTCTTAAGCATCACAAATGTCCTTCCAAGGGTTGTGAGCTAGCAATTTGTAAACCATAAAGATAGTATTGAAGTTCATTTCCACCACTTCTTTTTCTTTCCTCACCCAAAATGTAGAAGCATCTGACCTCCTCTTTTGTACTACTTTCGCGTAACTTCTGAGGAGTTGATTATCATTGACAAGCTCCAACTACAATATTTCTCCTTCTTCAGCTTGATTTGTAAAATGAAAGACGAGGGCTGATTTTTCTTGAAATTACAGAATATCTCTTATCATTTCCCAGAAATCTACCAACTTTATTTCCATCCAATTTCTTTCTACCTCCAAAAGGTGGTCAAACAACACGTTCGAGTTTCAAGGGGAGATCTAAACTTGGTAAATGGATAGTCCTAGAGACATCCTTGACTTACGAAAAAAATATGTGCACTGGATTTTGCAACAATTCAATTAGAGAGTTTTTAATCCAAAACAGA